TTCCTGAATTGGCCCCTCGTTCCTACGCTTCATGTTTTTCCCAACTACCTCAGTATCTCTGGAACTATCAGAGAACATAGTTTTGCAACTTAAAAATCATCCAGATTTTTTTTTCCCACTGTGAATGCTCCCCAAGGTACCTGGTCCCACTGCAGAAATAAGAACACATTGACAAATGCATAGCACTTAATAGGCCTCATTTCCCACAGTATTTGAGATACAGAAACTTTTGAAGTCACAGTAATATTTAATGCACAAGAGTTACCATCTTCTGTCACAGTCAAATGTTCCTCAATGATGCTGACTACCATGAAATAGAGATGAACTCTAGGCAGTCTGTAAAACCTGATTCGCTGGGTAAAATAGCAGCCTAAGTTAATAAAAAACAGAACTTTTGAAAGAAATATTGATATATACTGTATACATGCAACATGACAACCTAATTGCTAACAATGCCTTTTTGAAAAGTTCTGTTTTACTTATTTTGCATAATTGGTTTGAAACCCCTTTTTTATTTAGTAGCACCATTCATTTATATGCAGCTTACAAATATTCTTATTTGTTCTTATTCAGTGTCTACCACTGTAGACGATATCTCCTCTCATAGATCTTAGAGTCCAGTTTAGAAGCAAGGCCAGATAATACAAAATAATTAACACAGGAAAGTCTTTAAAGAAAGTGAATGCTCTTAGATAAGTTAAACAGCACCCATGTTCTTACTGAGTATATTTGCTCAGAAAATCCCTTCTTTGAGATGATTAAATGTTAGAGTTCAATACAAGTTCAGCTGAATGATGAAAGTTAGACCTCCATTCCCTGTGCTTTCCCCAGCATTTTCTTAAAACATCAATTAAAATTGTGTTATAATCTATGAAATTTCATGTTAGTTTTCTCCTGTGTCTTTTACGGGCCCCTTCAACTGTCCTTATATGCAGGACATAGTTTAGTAACTAGCATATCGGAGATCTTCAATAAATGAAAAATGTATTTAGTGATGCTTTACTATTCATATAGTAAATAGAAATTTATCATCTCATATTTCTTATAATATATGATACTTTAAAGCCTGAATTGGAAGCCAAGAAAGGGTGGCAATTGGATCAAGTCACTTAACTTCTGTTTCTCATGTCCTGATTTGCTATTTTCATATTCACAGTTATGTAACCCATTCCATAATTTTAATTTGGCAGATAGTTATTTCGTACCTTCTTTGAGGAGGAATTTGTTATTAGATTAATTCATAGCCTAGCTGGTGCTTCTCATGTGACAGTGATCCTGATATTGACAGAATCTTACTTCTTTTATCATTTCCCTAAAGGATAAATAAATTTCTAAATTTCATTGGATGCAGTGAGTTTTTTTTTTAATTTTAATCATTATTTTATTTATTTATTTTACTATACTTTATGTTCTAGGGTACATGTGCACAATGTGCAGGTTTGTTACTATCACAGTGAGTTTTTTAAATGACATCTTAGAACACACCATGGGACTAGAAAAAAACAGGATTCTAAAATTCATAGGAAGGCTTAAAATATTTAGAATCTTCTTGTCTACTAAGAGACCCAAGAGGACAGATAAATTCTAAGTTCATTAGTGGGTCTTCATAACTTTAAATTTCAGAGAAACTCCATCATGAGGAACCCAGTCATGATTTGTCTCTGCCTGTGTTTGGGCCTCTTCCATGCTCAAGATTCCATGGGACTCGGGTTAGAATCCCTTCTATCTGCAGTACTGGCAGTAAAGAAATCCAGAGGCCTAAATATCGCTGGTGAACAATGAGGGGCTTGGTCGACCATATAAAGTTCAATGATGCACTATATGGTGGCACTGGAAAAACATTTGTTGGGTCAGTACTCTCCAATTGCAATCCAAAGAATGTATTTTCACTAAGAAAAACTGGCGTGCATTATCATGTGGCAATTGTAAATCTGTAACTATATAAAAACATTCTGATATTAGGAAAGATAAAGATGGACACAAATAAAAATAATACTTTTCCTAATCTCTTTGCTATTGTTAACAAGAACATGTAAACAATGGAAGCAAGGTCTGAATTAAGTGAAATAAGTCCTTAATTTCCTCTGCTAATGGTATGGAATCTTGGACAATTAGAAGCTTACTTTCGCTTGGGTGGGAAATCACTTTGGCTGGAGATTTACTTTTCCAGTTAAAAGTATCATGAACTAACAATAATTTCCATTTTCCTACCCTTGAGCAAGGAGGAAAGAGCATAGTATTAATTCACATAGAAGAACAGCATTATGAAAGAGCACATTTTTGTGCCATGAAATATGATGTTTTTCTACTTTTTTATAATGGGATCCCACTACGATTACTTCATTGAATTCAATAGTGAAATATTTTTGATACTTAGATAACTAACCCTTTTGAGTAAGAAGTCTGATTTTTAACTCTATAACAAATATATAAGATTTCTAATTAAAGAGTTTTAAAACAAACGTTAAACTTCTTTAGTTTAGATAAAACTTTTGAATTATCACTGGGACTTTCTGCATAGTTCCTTTCTTCATTCATCCACCCATTCTTTCATGTAACCTTTTACTGCTTCAGCCCTAACTAGGCATTGCATTTCTCCCAGGCACTGGGGAAGCAACAGTGGATAGCGACAGTCCCTATTCTAATGTTGGCTAACATTTAAGACATGAATAGTTTTAGCTCATCAATTAACTGCCCTAGAGACTTAGAAAAAGTCAACTGAAGCCAAGTTGATGAGTAGTTATTAAACACTTATGTCCTCTGTAGCAAGTCCCTAGGTTTATGTCAATTTAAAATTCTGAAAAAATCGGGGAGTGTATGTGACAAGTGTTCTGTCACTCCGCTCATGATTGTTCAGCTATTTTTCAGGAACATTCAGAATCTAAAAAAGGACCTGGGACTTCTATTTCCTGGGAAAACTTGAAGCCTCTATTATCTCAGCTCTTAAATCCTGTAGAGTGAAACCCAGGGATTTCTAACACTCTAGAATAATTGGAGCAAAAGTAGTACATTCTTCTTGCTCCAATAATATCCCACAATAAATTGGTATCGCATAATAAATTGGGATACATTTTACCATCAGAAGACAAAAACCATGATATAGCCTGGATTATCTCACGAACACGGTGTAAATACTCGTTTTACATAAGGAAGTAGGTACTTTCAAGCTTGTACATGCTGAATGTGTTTTCCCTATGAGTACACCAAAAACAGTTTTATTTAGTTCCAATCAAGCAAATACATGGAATTCTTTTCATTTTTATGTTCATAAAGTCAAACGGTTTGGGGATAAATTCCTGCCCTCAAAAGATTACAACAGAAAGACCAATATCTGCATTTTCCTACCAAAAACATCATGGTCTAGAGCAGGAATCTGTAAAACTTTTCTGCAAAAGCCCAGAGTATAAATATTTTAGGCTTTTCAAGCAGTATAATCTCTGTCACAATTACTCAACTTTTCCTTTGTATCGTGAAAGCAGCAATAGACAATATATAAATAAATAGCATGCCTGTGTTCCAGTAAAACTATTTACAAAACAATATGCTGGCCAAATTTGGTTCACAGGCCAGAGTATGCCAACCTCTGATCCAGGTAAACCTATATTTTGAGCAACGGCAACATTTGTTGTATTCATTTCGTTTCTTACTCCTATTTTATATCCTATCACATACTGAAATAAAATACTAAATAGTAAAAGAGATTTTTTAAATTTATTATCAAGTATCTGTTGTAATAATAATTCCCTGGTGAGAATATTCTCAAAAAACTAATATTTGTCCACTTAAGTGCCATTTTTCCCAACGATGATAAACTTTTGATCATTTTTCTACATAGTAGATTGTTTTCATTTGCTCTATATCATAATGAGTACAATTGAAATTTTGTATGCTTTTCTGGTAGTCTTTCTCAACTAATTCTTATGATCAGATGAACTATCTAGGGGCAAATGCCCTACCTTAGTTGACCTCAATCTGTAATTATTTCCCAGTTAATATTTCCATTATTTTATATATCAGTTATCAATATCTATGTGTCTCTAGTAACCTTCTTCCCTTTGTCCATACCTCCTTTTACACACCCATGCATGAAATATGCTCTTGATGAGGAACTGAATTCTGATTGAGAGACCAAAATAACCTAGTGGCTGGAATCATATAAAATGTTACCATAAAGCCAACATTGAATTCTTTTAAAGAATAATTGCATTTCTTTTCTGGGGACACCGATTTTACAATAGCTATTTTCCACAGTACTGAAAAGCTTGGTTGCTTCTTTCTTGCTCTTTTGGAATAATAGATTTCTATTACTCTCAATGTTTTGGAACCTAGCCAAAATTAGCAGGTAAATGGAGTTTTCTTGGTATACTAATACTTCTTTATTTACTGAATTGTTTACTTGGAAAAAGTGATATCTTTGTGTTTTGTTTTGTTTACTGATTTTGCTGCTTACGTTTTTTTTCTACTCTATCTTCTGCTTATGTCTCACTTTCTCTCTACAATTTAGCCCAATGCATCTCAACCCTGGACTATGTAACTATCATCTGGGGAGTATCTGAATACCAAACCCTAGGTCCCAGCCCATAGATTTTTCTAATCAGTAGATTTAGGGGACAGAGAACAGGCATTAGTTATCTTTTATTGCGAGTGTTTAATATTTCCAGGTGATTCTCAAGTTATTCAAGGGCTAAGGACTACTGGTTTGCTATATCCGATTTATTTATTCATTTTTAAGAATTCTGTGTAAAAAGATTTTGTGGGCAGGGGTTTACACTGATACTCCTCTTTCTATTTTGTGGCATTTAAATCTAACACATAATAAATACATGGTACACATTTATATACACATTTTTGATAGTCTTACGATGTGGAAAAAATAGGCTTTAGCGTTCAGTGTTGAGATCTTTTGTTTTCTTTTTCTCGGTCAACTATTGTGCCTTAAATGACTATTTTTTAGTAACTGTGAAGTCATGTGTGTGTTACTGTCTTTCTCTTTTTCATAGCACCAGAAGAATGGGCCACAACCCGCTCTAGCTTGAAGGCACCACCGCCGAGGTCAGCAAGAGGGGGATACAGGGAACACCCCTATGGTAGATATTGAAGGTCCTTCCCACCTGTGACCTCACCTCAAAGACAGTTCATAGCCTGTGGTCTCCACATAAACAGCAACAAGACAAGTAATAGTCCTTTTTTTTTGTTTGTTGTTTTCTATTCTAGGGATAACTGCTCATGATTACTCCCATATATTTCTTGTATTTCCCTCTATACTGTTGGCGTGACATTGACACTAGTATTATTTTACAAAACAGACTGAAAAAGACATTGGCAAGCATAGTCTATAAACCTCTCAGTAGGATGATATTCTCTTGGTTGTTTTTCATTGTTGTGTGTAATCTTTTTTTTTTTCCCCTTTTTTTTTTTTTTTTTTTTTTTTTGAGAAAAAGCATGAACCTGTTAACAGATTTTGAGTCTCAACCAATTAGCAGAAACTTTGTTTAGGGTTGCTAAAAGACTGTAATATGATTTTTGAACTAGCTGATAATAAAGTTGTAGATAAGATGTTTTAACCTGTCTTTTAATATCTGTTAGTTAGACAAAGATGTTCGATATTAAGTTTGTAAATTTAATTTTAAATGCTGTTTTAATGGGGTTGAAAACAAGCAGCTACTGTATGTATGTAGCTAACTGAATTTGTTCAGTGTTTTAACCTGTATTTGTTAAAAAAGAAAAAAAAACACACACATAAAGTTCCATGTGTAAGCTTCTCTAAATAGGAAACCACAATTTGTCAAATATGTTTGCCATAATTTGTCAATAAAGCTGAAAACTTTTGTAAAAACTAAATTTGGAATTACTTGTTTTCTAGCTTTAAATGCCTGCTTTATTTCTTCTTCAAGAGATGCCTAAACTGTTTTCTATTTAAAAATTACAAAAATGAACCCAAGCCTGTTTTAAGATATTTGTGTAATACTTAAAAATGTATTAATAACTTATGGTTGTTAAATAATTTAAAAGTTAACAAACTAAACTGTTACATGAATCATGGTTAGTAAACACTAATGTATAACATGTTAATGGAAAAAAATGGATTTAGAATAATAAATGGATTTTAAACTATCCTCTAAGCTTTATCTTGCTAAACACAAATTCTGATTGACTTGTTTGCATTAGCATGTCTCTCGTGAGAAAGAGTAATGGAGTATAAAGAGGTAAGATTACCACTTACCACTGTCTAAATGCCTAGTTCTTCAACCTTTGAGTTTCCCCGCACATTAAATATCCCATCCAACATGTAAGCATTGCGTAGATTCACTTTATTGTTTTCACTCAAAGGAGTGCGTGGACTTCATTTGCGTAGTTTATAACAATTTGTTTTGACAAACAAATCATCAGTGTCACTGGCCAGTTGTTGCTATTCAACCTCAAAAACTTTATTTGTAATTTTCAGTGCTAAATATCACCGCCCTTGAAGGCAGTTTAGAGGGCTGATATTTCTTTTGAGACTATCAGACTTGATGGCTGATGATTATTAAGGAAATATGTCGCAGGACTCAAAGGATGACTAAACGTTAAACAGGTAACACTAATAGTAACTCTGTAATTTTGCCTATGCAACAGTAATGTTAAATATTCTCAGTTATTAAGTTCCTGATAGTTAAAAAAGTAAACCTACAAAAATATAACAAATAGGTCTATAGGCTATTAAAACAACTAATTAACATTAACTAGAGGCACCAAAATTATTTGAAATTATATAACCCTCAAGGCAATAAACAGAACTAAAATTAACAATAATAGTAATGCAACTCTTGCTAACTTCAAACGTAAGCTAAATTTTGATGGAAAAAAAGAAAGTGAAAGACTTGATGGTAGGGATGAATGCCAAAACTGTTAATCTTTTAAATACAGTTTTTTTGTTTATGGTGGCTTTTTGTCGATGTGATTGGTTTACTTTTTTGCTGCTAACCAGCTTAGGCATATTGCTGTTCAGTTTTTGCAGCTGGAGTTGCATGCTAATAGTATTATGAAGTGTGTGTCTGTCATCAGTTAAAATTGTAAATATTTGCCTTTTACAAAGTGCTGTTGAGTTATATTTAATTTTCGTTTTCTATTCCTTCTCATTATTTCAGGTACCCACAAGCAAAGAACACGTAATTGAATAATGGATATGATTTGCTAAGAAGGATGGAGGTAAGCTTATTTTTTATCTTCTTTGAAATAGATAATCTCATCAGCATGAACACATAATAAAGCATGAAGCTATAGTGGTGAGCTAAATAAAACACCTAATGCCACTTGTTGAACTACTGAAAAGGCTTAGGTAGGTTGTTGTCAAGAAATGGATGTATTTTTATCCTCTTTGAAATAAAGTGGTATGACTTAGTATTTACCTGGCAAGACTTTGTGAATTTAATCAGAAGTTTGTCAAGTGAATTGTGAATTAGTAGTTAAACTTCAGCCTTTTTCTTTGCTGTGAACTACTATATTCTACCTCTCCTTAGTTTTACAAAGAAAGAGTACTAAAACTTGGTTATAGGAGAAGGAACTCACAAACATTGGCTAAAATAAAGGGAACGGACAGGGTGGTCCGTGACCAACTCCTTACCTACCCCTTGTCATAAGAGTAAAATAAAATAACTAAACATTACCATTATTTCCCCCAGTTATCCCATTAGACTGATCAGTAAGCTTTTAGCTTCTCATCCAGCATTCTATTTTATTTAGCAGATAGTTACTGAGCAAAATTGCTATTTGAAATTGAGACTTGGTTCCTGTACGCAAGGAGTTGAAAACTTTAGCCAATAAACTTCAGACCGAAAAGAGTGCACGGACAGTTGTGAAATCCACAGGCTGAGCCGATGCTCAAAGAACTGAAATGACTTGGTGTGATGTTTAAAGCAGGGTTTTAAACCCCAAGTTTTAATCTTCTGTGTCTAGTCCTGTTTTCACTACATAAATATGCATAATATATGTTAACTTTAGTGATCAGCTGAGGGGAGCTATGAGAGAGCCTGGAGATTCCTTATGATGTGGGGAAAGGGGGCAGTGACAGAGACTGAGGGAGGTAGAATGGAAGGAAAGGAGTAGCTCATTAACTGTGAGGAAGACAGTACCTCCTGGTGAGGGGAATATGCTGTCTCAGTTTGTGCAGCTGGAAAAATTCAATGTGTTTGAGAGGAAAGCAGAGGCTCAATGGGCCCTGAGGGGCAGACTTATGAAAGTACACAGAGAAAAGGCAAAGCCTGAAAACACTACTGGTTCAGTTGAGGTCCCAGTTGTCACTAAGTGCTGTGTTGAATTGTTCAAATTTTATAAGGAAAAGGAAGAAGAAGCTATTACAGGTTTGAAGTAAAGAATGAGTGCCGTTCCTAAGAAAACTACCCCAATAAGACAAGATAAACCTCACATTTAGTCAATTTTATCATTACTAACTGCCTCTTCATCTGAGATAGCTTTTCTAAAATTCAAACTCTTAAAACAATTATTTAATACTGTATTGCTTCAACTAAAGTTCTTTTCTCTGCAAGATTGAATTCTGAGTTAAATTCTGAAATTTTATTTATCAGTAACATTTCATATATATTTGAGTATTAAAAATTGTCACTATTTTTGTAAAGTAAGAGGAAGAAGAATCTCTCGTCCAGACACCCTGCTCATTATTCTCTTTTATCCATTTCAAACATTGGGCTTGATCTGATAAAGCAATGAAAGAACAACCAGCCATAGGTTGTTATTCTTTTGATGTATTAATCAATATGACTCTTTATTCACTGTAATTATTCGATTGTTGTTGTCTTATAAACCTATGACTCTCACCATTCAGACTAGATCTTTATATACATTAACTCAGGGCAAGGTTATCACAGCAGAAACATTAGTGTTGAACAAGAAAAGAGAACATTATTTTTAAGTACAAAAACAATGATTTGCAAGAAAGGGAATTTTGATTTTCAGATACCTTCATTTTGAGTAGCATAAGCCTGATTGACTTTGAACATAAAGTTTATACATTAAACAGTAGATATAAAAGACTTCTATGTACCTACCTACATATATCTACAAGGTAAAGATTGTACAGGCTGAGAAGAGAGCTCAAGAGGCAGCAATATCTAAAATATTAGTATGGCCATATACACTGTGTCCCTTATCTAATAAAAGCCTCAGATGGGTTTGGAACACAGAGAGGACCTCTGACTAAAGGGGAGTCTGGGAGGCAGCAACCCTCGCAGAGTTGTCCACACCAGTGCGTGTCAGGTGCAATCCTGTGGAAGTATCTATAGGGTGTATTCACTGGCAAGAGTGAAGCAAGTATGGCAGAGAAAACTGCACACACAATTGCTTTCACAGGAAGGCAGGGAGGATGCAGTAGCTTCAACGTAGACCAGTGCTGGCCAGGATGCAGATGTTATCAGTGGACACAATAACATGGAAAGGTGAGAAGATCAGCTGCTCCCTGCCACCAATGCCTCCAGAACTTAAATCCAAGCCAGGAAAAAGAGAAGGGGAAAAATAAATCCCTGAGTTGACAGAGGAACTTCTGATCAAAATTAATCTGAATTGGCTGGGATGATTTTTCTCCACTCGGCAGAATGGAGACTTAAGTTTGAAATCAAGTGGAGGTTTAGAAAAATGTAATTATATATAGCAGAGACATTTATAGGCAAGTCATAACTTGCCTGACTCTTAAAATAATCATAAATGAATATGCTAGGTTTCTCCAGCAACAGAGAATGATAATTTCTTTAAGTTAGTATCCTTTTAGTGGCAACTTTTATTTGAACGAAAACCATTCAGCAAGTGGTCCTAACTGGCAAACTTATGCACAGAGGATGCCTTCTCTTGTCAGTATCAGAAAACAATGCTGGTCTCATATGGGTTCATGGCATCATGTCTGCTCTCATCATCTTCAATGTGGTGGCTCCCAAAGTTGGCAAACATCATGTCTGACATCCACCTCATGCAAGTGATACAAACTTGCATGGCATTTTAAGGTTTTTTGATAGTAGTACAGCCTAAGCATATTTTAAAGTTATCTGTATGCATGGTCTATGTATTTTTTCAGATAATGCTTGATGATTCCATTACAACTGGAAACCTCACTGAAAAATCAGATTAACTAGACAAATCAGATTAGCTAAAAACTAGACAATCAGACTAAACAAAGTATTTTAGTGATAATAAAATTAAGAATAAATTCTTTGTGCCTACTAATATTTGTGCAACAAAATGTATTACTGAACTCACATATGATTAAATTAGAATCAATTTGATGCCATTTAGGAAACTGAATAGTGCCCTGAGGTCTTATCGTGCCCTGAGGTCGCTGGGGCACTAGATGCCCTAGTGTAATATTTAGATAATTTTCACTTTTAATATACAGTATTAATGGAACTGTGACCATTTACCTTAATAACAATTGAAGCATCAATAGTTTTTAAATAAAGTTGTCACAAAATGACGTATGAAAGGTTATCAAGAATTCTTTGAGAGGAAATTTTTTTAGAAACTGTGTTATTAAAAGATTACTCTTGTTCTTTTAGGTCTTTACATAAAAATATATAGACTAGTATTTTAAAAGCTACAAATACCTTTTAAAAATGTAACTTTTAAAGGTTGATTAATGGATACAAATACATAGTGAGTAGAAATAAGACCTAGTGTTTGATAGATCAGTAGGGTGACCGTGGTTCATAATAATCTATCATACATTTCAAAATAGCTGAAATAGATTAATTCAAATGTTTCTTGCCTAAAGACAAATATTTAAGGTGGTGGACATCCCAATTACACTGATTTGATCTTTACAAATTATGCGAACGTATTAGATTATCACCTGTACTCCAAAAATATGTACTCTATTACATAACAATAAATAAAATTTTAAAATGTTACTCCTTATATCATTCGCTCTATATTTTCATTCACATAATACAGCAGTTTGTAGGGTTGTTTTGTCTTGTTTTATTTTGTTTCTAAAGGGAATAGAGAATAATGATTAGTAATCTGAGCTGGTTGAGTATCAAATATTAAGTTTCAGTATCAAAAGATCTATTGCTAAAAAATGTTTAATTTTTACTGCAAAAAAAATCATGTAGTAAGTAAAAGATTGAAAATATTGAATGGTATGGTAATTGTTAAAGTTGATTACATGATTTATGATTGATATAAGGGTATATAGCATTAATAACAATAATGATAGTAGAATCCTCTGGTTTTGGGGCATATATGCTGGGCAAGTTACTAGAATTTACACATAAAAACTTACATGAAGCATCTGTAATTCTTTGAACAAGCATGCAAATGAAGTATAATTAAACTCATTTTACAGAAGAGGAAATAGTGTCACACTGCTAATACGTATAGCAAAGCCAATATTTAAAACACAGTTTGATAACCCACACATTTTCCAAAATACTATAGAGTTTCCTAACTCTGAATAAATTTGATCGAAAAGAGGATACAGAATTCCAGGTAGCCTTAACATAATTTCTGTTCTGTAGCAATATGATGAATATTGATGTAAAAAATGATATGCCAAAACATCTTAAATTGAAGTCAGTCATTTTACTTTGATCTTTCCGCATTTATCATTCTGATTTCATTATAGAAAAACATAGATGAAAGTATTCCACACTTGCCACGAAGCATGACTACAGTCATTGGTAGAACAAATGAATTCATTTATAATCTAAATTCCATTTTGACATTTAAGAAAATCACTCACATGATTAAATAAGCATGAAAGCAATTTCAAGCTTTTATTCATCAATCTATAGATCAAAACTCTGCTTTAAAGAATAAGGGTCAATTTCAAACTAGAAATATCTTTGTATAAGCCATGCAGTCATGTGTTAAGAACCTAAGTGAAGATACCATTCAGTGTTAAATATTTTTAAAAGGCATTTCCTGTTGTCAATATAATGTGTAACATTTGGCTTGACATTCTAGTTTCCAATTAAATATCTGAGTTAACAAGAAAATAGCTGTTTTTGGTGACAGGCACCAGTTTTCCAAATCCATCATTAAAATTAGTTTCTTAGTCTTTTTATGTAGAATAAATTAATTGTTATTCAAAAGAATATTTACAGTGTACATTGGAAAAAGTAACTCTACTTGATATATTGTTTTACATCTCAGTCTCTTACACTTTATTATGAGAGGAATTGAGAAAACAGGAGAGAAAATTGTCT